GCTTCTGATGACCTCCAGAGTTAAACATTTTACAACTTATATATACATATATATATATATAAATTTTATATATATATATATATATATATATACACACACATATACATACACATATATATTATTCCCCATAACACACTGTGTTCTAACCAACCTGGCCTTCTTCTTGCTCCTCACCCATGATACTCAATCTCCCACCTCCACGCCTTTACGCAGGCTGATGTACACTGCTCCCCACCATGCCTGAAACGCACTCCCCTCCTTCCGCAGGCCTTGTTGAATCCTATAAGCTTCCCCGAGGCCTTCCCTGACTCCCTCAGCTTTTCTCTCCGCCCCCTCCCAAGATTCCTTTGTATACATCTCACATATGTACCTGTTGCCTTCCTTGTCAGCTTTACATCTCTGGTGGCACCTAGCGGGCACTACATGAACTCTGGCTGGGCACGCTGGGACCCAGCAGTGCCCAGGCTGGGGCTGCTTTCCCACAGTAACTCACCCGGCAGAACCTTGCGGAACAGCCGCTTCCACACGGTCATTTTGAGGTCAGCCGGGTGGAAGCCGGGCTTGAAAGAGACGGCGTTGAAGGTCCCCTCCAGGGGCAGGGTCTGCTGGAGCTTCGTGCTGGAAGAACACGGGTAGACAGAGCCCGGGACCGGATGTGAGTGAGTGGCAGTACCGCTTCCCTTTGCTGGGGGCCAAAGACTGAGCCATAACCAAGGATTTGGATTTGGGTGCCCGGGTCAAGTAGGGAGGGGCCGGGTAAGATGGGGGGGGAGGGGGCCTCCAAGCTGGACCATCCCAAGAACCTGGAGTGACAGCTGGCAGGGACTATCGAGTCCCACCCCCTCGTCTTACAGATAAGGAGACTGAGGCCAAGGAGGTCAACAGGAGGTAAGTATCAGAGGCGGGCTCTGAAGCCAGGTTCTCTGACTCCTGTGACAGTCATCCCTGCCCAGGATGCCAGGAGGCTTCTCCACTCCTGAAGGCCTGACTGCTGATGGGAAAATGGGGAGCAGGGACTGGAGGAGCCAGGGATAAGGAAGAAGGGCACCCCAGCCCGTGCTGTTGGCACCCTCTGAATGGGAGTGCCCTGGATCAAAGCCCCCACCAATCTGCCCGAGTTAAATCTCTGGGTACAGCTTCTCCCCCACCTAAACTCACACAGTCCTGCATCCACCATAGCATTCTACCCTGAGACTCATTTCTGGCTGAATTCACAGCCCCGGGGATGGAGATTTGTGCAAGAAAAGGTCATATAACTGAGGAAAAGACATATGTGTGTGTATATGTATGTATGGCTATATATTTATGTGTGTATATATACATGCATATATGTGTGTATACATGTATAAATATATAAATCATAAATTCTCTCTCTCTCTCTCTCTCTATATATATATATATGTATATAAAATCATAATTTCCCTCCCACCAACTTGGATTTCACCCTGGGTCCCCAGGCTCAGACAGGTCAGCTTTCTTTTCCAAAGTCCTTCAGACTGCTCCCACAACACACCAGCTTACCGCCCCTTCCATTAGAATGGAACCTCCTTGTATTACATCCCCAACACTTAGCAGGCTGACGGCACGTAGTAAAGCCTGAATAATGCTTTATTGGGCTCTCTATTTGAAAGATAAGGTCATACTTCACACATCCATGTACATTTCTATGTGTACATATGTGTTATATGTATACATGCGTGTATATCTATGTTCCCAAAGGCCATTACAAGTGGGGCTGGAATCCTGACTTAGCCCTGTTTGGAAGACGGCTCTAGCTGAATGAGAGGCCCATGCCATTTCCCGGGCTTCCTCTCCATCCCTTCTCCACATGTTCTGCCAGATCCCAAAGGCCTGACTCCCTCTCTCCCCACCAGGGTACTTACCTGGAGGCCATGGTGTGGTATTTCTGTAAGAAAAGAGAGACAAGGTGATTAAGACATGAGAAGGCTCCTTCAGAAGCCACGAGTGACGGGGTTTGCTGGGCAGGAATTGTGGTTGGCGATAGAGGGAAGGTGCCCCAAAGGAGGGGCGTTGGCTGGCTAGATGCCCCAAGTCCAAAGGTCACACTTTGGTCCAATGGAAGCAGGATGCTCATTTTTACAAACATTTATTAGGCACCTACTACACACCAGGCATCGTGCATACAGTGGGCATACAAAGACAAACCCAATCCCTGCCCTTGAGGGACAGCCCTCCTGGTCATTCTGTACTGTTCTGTTTATACTGTACATGCACATGTCTCCTTCATTAGAATGCAAGGTCCTTGAGGAGAGGCACCCTTGTATCTATAATAGACACTTAAATGACGTCAAATGAGACAATGTCCCTAAAGTGTTGTGCAAACCTAAAAGTGTCATATAAATGCTAGATATTGGGATAATTATTCAATGCTTTTTAAACTGAATTGAATGTCATGTTCTTCTCCAACCCCCGCCCCCCCAACGTAAGCTTCTTGAGGGCATGGACCATTGCATTTTTGTCTTTCTATCGTAAGTACCTAATGAACATTTGTTGATTGACTGATGGACTGTTCCTTTCCCTGGCTCACCTGGATGAAGTCTAGGTGGCTCTCCTCACTCAGCTGTTCCAAGACTCGTTCGGTCTGCTCCAGCCGCTCCCTGGCACCCTGGGCCTGCTCCAGTTGGATGTCCATGGAGGCCACAAGGCCCCGCTTGTGACACTCGATGCCCTCCAGACATCGGGCCTTTTCCTCATCCACCAGGCGGTGTAACTCCTGGAACTCTCTCCGGATCACCCAGCTGAAGACGTCGGACTCGTTCTGAGGGAGGGAGCCGAGCCCGTCTCAGGCCAGCCCTTACTTTGGTTTGGGCCAGGAGAGAGCAGCTCATGGGGGGGGGGGGGCAGATCTAGGCTGGCCTGGAAGGGCCTTCGGGGTCATCCGGTCCAACCCCCTCATTTCACAGAGATGGAGACTCCCCCTCAGCTCAGAAGGTCTTAGACGCCGCCTGGAGGGGAGTTTAGACGTCATCGAGGCCAACCCCCTTGTTTTCTATAAGAGGATACTGAGCTCCGAGGAAATTAAGTGATTTGCCCAAGGTTTGAGCCCAGGACCTCTGACTCCATTGCTCTTTCCCCTGTGCCATGCTGCTTCCTTTGGCACACAAGCACAGCCTATATAAACTATGAGACCTGAACTCTCCCTCCCTCTGCACACTCTCCCACGGACATGCAGGACCCACCCATGGGCTGGAGATGCACATTCTGTCCTTCACGTAGACCTTTCTCTTACCCAAACTATTGAGGGATTCAGGACATCACCATTATCCCTCTAGGCCAGGGAGTTGTTGTAAGAGGTGACACAGCAGTTGACCAATCAATCAACAAGCATGTATTAAGCACCTACTGTGTTTCAGGCACCGTGCCAAGAACAGAGCGACTATGGCTTCTCTAAGAACTTGAGGTCCGCTACCAGCGTCCCTTCCTCTAGTATGGGCCAGTCCTGGTGCTGCCTCTGTAGGGCTCCCCCACCCCAACTTGACTCACGCGCCAGAAGGAGTTATAACTGGGCTGACCAGAAGGTGGCACAAGGTGGTCATTCCAAACCCCGTCGTGGAGGAGGCCGGGTCACCTCACTCTCAGACTACAGAGTTTACCAAGGCCCTGGGCCCAACCCCACCACTTGAAGTCAGTGGGATCCCAGATGCAGAGTGGGAGGGAGCCGAGATGGGAGGCAGGGTCATGTGTAGGTATGGGGCCAGAGGGCCTGGTTCAAAGGCCACTTCTGGTGCTTTCTATCGTGTGACCTTGAGGAGGTCCCTTTACCTCCCTTGGCATCAAGCTTCCTCATCTTTAAAATGGGGAGGGGGAGTGTCTAGGAAATGCTCTTCCCCTCATTTTACCAAAAAGGAAGCTGAGACCTCTGGCAGCGAAGCGATTCATATCCAAGGCCACACCAGTATCACGAGCCAGGGATGGCTTGGGAATCCGGTGCTCCAAGGGAACAGGCAAACCCCCACATCCCTCCTGGGCCTGCTCTGGATCTTAATTTGACTTTGGTGACACCAGGAGAAGGGATGCCCTTTCCCGGGGCAGGGAAGCGAGGGCACGGGGCACAATGTGGGTGCTGGCTCACAGCAATCCGGGTCCTGTTGTTCCCTAGTCTGGTGACATGTTCCTCCAGTTCTTCCCGCTGTTGTTTCAGGTCAGAGATGAGGCCCGAGAGCTCTTCCTGGGGGAGGAAGCCAAAGCAGAACCCACGAGTCCCAGGGAAGCCATCCTTTCCCCATCCCCAGGCCTCTGGCACGCAGACCACACAGGCCACAGAGTCTGGCCCTTTCAATTTCAGAGAGGAGAAAGTGAGGCCCAGGGAAGTGAACTGTGCCCGTGCACACACAGACAGTGTCAAAAGTGGGATTTGAACCCAGGCCTTTCTGACTCCACGCCAGCCCAAAGTCTCCCTTCAGAACCAGGGTAGAGTTAAAATTATTCAGTTTCCTTAGCCTCCACCTTGTGTGTAGATACAGTCCTAGATCCAAGCCAAACCAGTCCCAGAAGCATTTCATAGCAGATCCCCCTGGTGGTTGGTGGGTCCCAATTCTCCCAATAAACTTTATAATTATTTTGTGTATTTCCTATATTTCCTCATACTCAGAGGATCAGAGATAGAGGGGTAGAAAGGACTTCAGAGGCCATCCTGCCCAACTCTCTCATTGTACAGATGAGGAAACTGAGGCCAGAGAGATTAAATTAACTTGCCCAAGGTCACACAGGTGATAATCTACTCAATTCAAGTCAGGCCAACGAGCATTTCTTAAGCACCTATTACATGCCAGGCACTGGTGATACCAGTACAAAGAATGAAACAATTTCAGGTGGGGTTAATAGAATCACCGAAATTGAAAGCTGGAAGGACCTTAGCTGAGGAAAGAGAGAGAGCAGTTACAACCTGAGGGGTTAGGAAGGGCTTCCCGTAGGAGGTGGCTGCTGAGCCTTAGAAGGAAACTAGGGGGTTTAAAGGATGAAGTCAGGAGGAAGTGCATTCCAAACAGCCTGGGCAAAAATGAGGAGGTGGGAAATAGGAACCAATACTGAGCAGGGAGAGTCCTCTTTAGGATGGAGCTCAGGCTACGCTGTTGATCAGTCCTGGCAAATGTCCTTACAAAAAATGACCAACAGTTGGGGGGGGGGCCTTCCTGTCCACCCACCCCACCAAGTCCCCAGAACTTTCTCTGGCCACTGGAGATAAGTGGGAGCTTCGTCTCAGCTCCCCGTATTCATATGACAGCTTTGAGGTGATGCACGTGGCCACAGAACTCCCCCACCCTCTGCACAGCCTGCCTCGGACACCCAGGATCCACACGTGGGCTGGAGATGCACATACTGTCCTTCTCTCCCCCACATTGTAGAGGGATCCAGGACATTGCCAGGCCCTCTCAGGCATTTTTCCTGGCATCCCCTTATGAATGGATTTTTCCTCTTCAGCTTCCTTCCATGGACCCACGAATGGTTTCTATAGTAATAAAGGGCCAGAATGCCCCCCTACCTCATGGGTGCCCTCTCTGGCTCCCTTGCCTCACATCTGCTTTGGTCTCATTCAAAAATGCAGGATACGCCAGTAGATGAAATCTTGATTAAAAGCCTTGAGCAAATGTTAACCTAGTTACTGGATTCTTTCTTTAAAGTTTGGAGGCTGGCTGGGAGAAGTTAAGGATTTACTTAACTTAGGCCAGAGAGACTTTATGACCCCTTTTTGTTTGCTTGTTTTTCATTGGGGGGAGAGGGCTAGTTGCTACTTTCATGTTCCTGCCCCTGGTGAGCCCCCTTGACCAAACCCTGGAGGAACTATGATTGTAGAAGTAATAAAGACCATCTGTGCCGAAGCATGGGCCCTCAACTCAGAGAATGCACAGAAAGGGGAATTTCTCAGATCCTACCCAAGCAAGTCCTTAGTAACAAAAGGTCAAGCATTTCACGCTGGCGTCGAGGCATCATCACAGAGGCCAGTTCTGTCAGAGCCTGAGGACTTGGTCTGTCCAGGATTGACATCTGCACGGGTACCCGACGCCCCTGACGCCCCCACTGCTGGCTGCTTGTCTCTTAGCTTTCCCTGCCTGCTAACTGCTTATTCTAACTCTGACTCCAAAGCTCATCCTCATTGAAAAGGAAACCCCGCCCTGCTCCCCATCATCTCCCCCCAGCATCTGTTGGGTTAAGTCGCCTGACCTCTGCTCTGGGCATGGGTGGGAGCTGGGTGGGAGGCCCTGCTGGCTCAGACACACAATCACCCCGCCTTGGCCCACCTTGGCCTGCATTCTCAGCCTGGAGCAGAGAGCCCAGGGCTGGTCTGGTGGCCAGGCCCTGGTCTTTCCGGCTAGGGTGGCAAGCGGCTTCCTACCTTCATGCGGCTGTACACGGTGGAGACAGGTGTGACCTGGTGCTGCCGATGGGAGCCCAGAAGGCCACAGAGGCCACAGATGAGCTCTCTGTCCCTCTCACAGAACAGGCTGAGTGGGTTTCGGTGATGGGTACAGACGCTCAGCTCCTGCTCGCCTGGGACGTGCAGAGCCTCAATCACCTGGGCCAGGGAAACGTTGGGCGGGGAGCTGCTGCCATCGGGCACCACTTGCCGGCACACGGGGCAGAAGAGCTGGCTTCCCAGGTGGTGGGCTAAGGAGTCCAGACAATCTTTGCAGTAAGAATGGCCACACTGAAGCATGAGGGGCTCCTTAAAGACCTCCAGACAAACGGGGCATTGGAGCCCGTTTGCCAAATCAGGGGCTGTCACCTGCAACGCCATCCAGACTTTCCAGGCTGAAAAACAAGATCAGAAGTGACTCCTGTCACAGTCCACTCCCAGAGCTGGGACTCAGGCTAGGCCAGCAGGGCCGTTACCCAGAAGCACAACACGGAAAGAGGGAAGGGCATGCACACACTTTTCCAGTATTTCTTTTGAAACTTACTTTCTATTTTAACATACTTTTGATACTCACTTTATACCGTGTGTAGCAGATAGAGCCCTGGACTTGGAGTCAGGAAGAGCCGAGATCAAATCCTAACTCAGATATTTACTACTGTGTGATTCTGGGTCAAGCCACATAACCTCTTTTATTTGCTGCCCAAGGCCTAACCTAGCTAAGTTTAAAGAGGGTTATTTCGCTGTTTTTTAATTTTACTATTTACAATTTATTTTACTATTTCACTTTCATTATTATCTCCCCTGCCTCAGTTTCATCATCTATGAAATGGGGCTAATCCCAGCACCTAGCTCCCAGAGCTATTATGAGGATCAAATGAGATAATATTTGTAAAAATGCTTTGAAAACCTTAAGGAGCCATGAACATTAATGCTATTATTATTTTTATTTCATCAATGGGAATGCTTTTTGCATAGTTTCTCCTCTACCTTGGTTAGCAACCCCTCTAGAGCTTAATGTTCAAGAGTGTCTGTGGCCAAAAACTGACATCACCCCCTTATCAAACTTAGCTGGGCTGGTCCCTGGACAGCAAACAAAAGTCTTTTGAAGCCTTTCCAGCTGCTGCATGAGACAGCTCGTGTCACTGCACCCAGGAAGTACAGGGGCAATGTGGGGTTCTGGGGTTTGAGGAGGCCAGAGCAGAGGCCAGGGCCTCACGCCCCCTGCTCTCAGGCCCCATGTGAAAGGAGGTCATTTTCAGACGCAGGTGACAGAGTTCCCGCTGCACATTTTAATTCCTCATTGCTTATTTGTCTTCTACTTCAAAGAAATGTCCTTGTTTCATGATGCCGTGTGAGGTTCTATCACATTTTATGATAGATTTAAAGATGAAAGGAGCCCGGAGTCCATCTATTAAACCCCTGCCCATTTCATAGATGAAGAAACTGAGGCCTGGAGAGGTTAAGTCATTTGCTCACGGTCACCCAGGCATTTGAACCCAAGTCCCACTGACTCCATACTGCTGCTCCCTGTCAAATCTCCTGGTCTGCCAGTCACAGCTTTTAAGAACCAAAAGTCATCTCCATATGGCTTCTGGTCCTGCTGCCCCTCTCCAGGCCACAACGAAAACAACAAAGAACTGAGCGAAAAGTCATCCAGCAATGGAGACACCATCCTTCCCTACTCGTCCCTTTCCTCTGCTGAGGGGACAGGGGTCCTATTTCATTACGTGCCCCCTAGAGCCGGGTACTGGGTTTTCTATTACTCAGAATGCAGCTCCCTTTCAGGGAGGTTTTCATGAATTCTGTTTCTATTTCTTCATCAGTTCATACAAATCTTCCTATGTTTCTCTGAATTCCTCACAGCCATCCTTTCTTACAGGGTAGTAGTATTCTTATTTTTAGCTCTACATACCATACTTTGTTTAGTCATTCACCAATCAGGGTAGGAGGAGGGTCCAACTTTGTTGCCTATTTATTTAAATATATTTAGTGCCAGAATCTTCGGCTACTGATGCCATGTATTTCTATATTTTGCAATAAGCCAACGGGGCACTGTTGAGGCTCAAAGCTTTGGGGAAACAGTAACACCCAACATGGGGGCCTAGGGGAGAGAGTGATTTTTAAGCCTGACCTAGAATGTTCAGATACCTTGTCCTGGCTCTGTTCCCTCCCTAGTTTCTCACCCTGATCCTTTAATAGTCTCAAGGGTTAGAAGATGTTTTAGAAGGAAGGATGCCCATTCAGAGTGTATCATTAAGTCATTTTCCAGTCGTATCCAACTCTTCATAACTCCATTTGGGGTTTTCTTAGCAAAGATATTGGAATGGTTTGCCATTTTCTTCTCCAGCTCATTTGACTGATGAGGAAACTGAGGCAAACGGGGTTAAAGTGACTTGTCCAGGGTCACACAGCTAGGAAGTGTCAAAGACCAGATTTGAACCCAGGAAGATGAGTCTTTTTGACTCTAGGCCTAGCACTCTATGCACCATGGTGCCACCTAACTGCCCATTTAGAATGTAGACCAGAGTCTTGGGCTGGGAGACAGGGACATGAATTCGCGTCCTAGCTGTAGCTGTACTATCTCTCTAACATTGGGTATCCCAGAACACTAGATTTCAAGTGAGACGAGACTTCAAGAGCCATGCCCCCCAAAGCATCTTGCCTATAACATCTAGCCCCTGCTGCAGGTCTTCCAAGAAGGGGATCCCGCAACCTCGTGGTCTTGGCTAGTTCTAATAATGGTTTCTCCTTACTTCCTTCCAAACCAGAATTTACCTCCTTGTGACCTCCAGTAATCACTCCCCTTCCCAGTCCCTCTGGGGCCAAACACAAGCCTATTCCCTCCTCCACATACATGACAGCCCTTCAGTCCTTAAGAACCACCACCACCTTCTTCCCGGGGCTGGACATTCCCAGTTCCTCCAAATGATCCTCCCATGGTGTAAATTCCAGGTTTTCCACCATCTTGGTTTTTTTCCTCCGCACACTTTCCAACTCAACAGTGTCCTTCCCAAACTGAATACAAAACTCTAGATGTGGTCTGACCAAGGCAGAGAACGATGGGGACTCTTGTCCCCTTATTTCTGGGAGTTCTTTGGCTTCTCTTGATGCAGCCTAAACCCACCTTAACCTTCTTGGCTCCCATACTTGAACAGAGCTTGCAGAGCCCACCCCCCCCACCCCCGCTGGGGTTCAGCTTCTTTGTCTGTAAAATGAATGGGGTTGATTCAATTGATCTCTACGATTCCTCCTAGCTCTAGGACCCCATGATGAGCATTCCGAAGGTCCCTCCTAGATCTATCATTCTAGATCAGCACAAGAAGGAAACAAGAAAAGAACCACGGGGCAGCTAGGTGACCCAGCGGATAGAGCAGTGGCCCTGAAGTCAGGAGGATAGAGTTCAACTCTGGCCTCAGACACTTAACCCTTACTAGCTGGGTGACCCTGGCCAAGACACTTAACCCCAACTGCCTCGCCAAAAAAAAAGAAAAAGAACCAAGGACGAGGAGTCATTCTGGATGCCGATAAAGTTGATTTTGCCCATCAACCAGGCGCCCTGAGCTCTTCATGGCATCACCAAGCCGGGGCTATGGTTTTAAGAAGCAAAATTCAAGGGCCAAGTCTAATGCCTGTGTGCTATCCATCCTCCACACTGAGCCCATACTTTCTAGTGCCTGGAAGAGCTAGTTGTCCCTGATAATAATAGCATTCAGATGGGTGTTGGAGAGGGGAAAGGGAATATTAGTATTTATATAGCACCTACTGTGTGTCAGGCACTGTGCTAAGCACTTTACAAATATCTCATTTGAATCTTACAACAACCCTGGGAGATAGGTGCTGGTATTGTCCCCATGGTGCAGTTGAGGAAACTCATAACTCCAGGCAAACTGGTGAAGTTACTTGGGTCACACAGGTGGGAAATGTCTTAGGTGGGATTTAAACTTGGGACTTCCTAACCCTGGTCCCGTGCTCTACCCACTGGGCAACCAACTAGAGCCAACTTTGAAATCCAGGCGATCTGGGTTCCAGGCCAGCGTCCGACACATATTGGCTTTGTGATTGTAGGCAAGTCATTTAACTTCTTGGTGCTCTAGGAAACTTCCTAAAACTGTCGATTGAAGATGAAGTGCTAACCTGCCTTGGTGCAGGGAGTGTCCTCACCTGAGAGCTCCTTAGACCAGTGAAATTACAAGTCCAGTCCCTAGGACTATTTAGAAAGTGCTTGGAGGCTACCGCTTTACCTGGTCACAAACAGCTTCCTGAAGTAACATGCTACAGGCATTATTATCCCCATTTTAGAGATGAAGAAACCGAGGCTCAGGGACAAGGGTCACTTACCTTTGTCAGAGATGAAATCTGAGCCCAGGTCTTAAATCCAGCATTCTTTCCCCTACAGCCAGCTACCTTTCAGTCTAATCTCTAGCACGACCCCAATGGCAGGGTCCGGAGACCCCCAGGCGACAGCAAGAGCTGGGAAGGCAATCTGGGACACCTGACCGGCAAACCAGCATAACTGACCTCTCTGGCTGCCGCAGCCTCTTCCTTCCAGAGGGAGCCAGGACCACAAGAAAAGACAGAGGGCGCACCCTCACCCACCTAATCTTTGTTGCTTTCTTTCTTCTCCAGGCAACTCCCCCTTCCCACCCCAAGGCGCAGGGCAAAGTCACCGGGAACCAAAGCAGACCAGGCTGGTCACAGGGCCGAGGCGCCTGCCACCGGCCGTCCCCGCTTTGATAGCAGCGTTCAGGTGGTTGTTTGGATTGAAGGGGGGGATGAGGGGCGGGGCTCTGGGGAGGGCTCCCCAGCACCTGGTCCTTTGGCAACACTGGAAGCCTGGGGGATGGAAGACTTGGCGGCGGACGGGACGTCCTCCGTCGCGCGTCCTCAGCCCTCCCTCGCTTTACAGAGGTTTGAAAACTCAGCACGCCATACGAATGCCAAGCTGTGATCGAAAAGGATGGACTGGCCACGGGTCATGACGGAGGGATGAGGATGGAGACCCCAGGACAACCTCCCTCGAGGACCAGAGCCATGCAGGGCGGGGACGCCGGCGGGAGCTGTGATCTGCACGGGGAGTGTCAAGTGTCAAGAAGCCCCCCTCCCAGGCTGTGGCTGAGCCGCGGTGGGGTGACCGCCCAAGGTCAGCCAGTGAGCCAGGGCCAGGATTCCAGCCCAGTTTCCGGGCTTCCCCTACACCAAACTGCCTCTTCCACAAACTGATGACAGCAACACAATAATAGTGACCGTTTATACAGCCCTACTGTGAGCCCTTTACCGTTATTATATCATTTGGTCGCAACAACCCTAGGGGGGAGGCTATTATTATCATCCCCATTTTACAGATGAGGAAAAAGAGGTTAAATGACTAGCCCAAGGTCACATAGCTAGTAAGTATTTGAGGCAGAATTTGAATTCCTGTCTTCTTAACTCCAGATCCAGTGACCTATCCACGGCCCACCTTCCCTGGGCAACTCTCTAAGATTATGTAAGTTGCAGAGAAGGTGATAACCGTCTTGGCGGAGGGAGTTTTCCCACGTGGGATTCCTGTGTACCAATGACATCACAGAACTGCGGGGTCTGGGTTTTCCCCATCGCAGGGCTGGGTACATTCTTGCCGAAGGACAGACCTGCCCCTGTAACTAGCTCCAGCCCCAGCACCCCGCCCAGAAGTAGTAGGCAGCTAATGCAGGTGGTTGATTGCCAGCTTGTTACCCCAGCTGTTGGGGCTGAGGGAGTCGGGCGGAGAGCAGGGGAGGGGCGGCGGGGGAGGGGCAAGGGAAACCGACAAAGCTCTTGTGGGCCTGAGGAAACACGTGCCTTACAATCTACTATTTACCCAGCCCTGGGCGGTGATTGGAGGAGGGGCTCACACTCGAGAGAGAGTGGGCGACGGCTGATTGGTTGGCCGGGGCGCGTGTGGGCGGGAATTTGGGGGCCCGGTCTCAAGAGCCTGGCCCCGCGCATGCGCTCTCTGGGGCAACAGCCAGCATTGTGCAGGTGGGAGGACAAGATGGCGGAGCCTCTGGTGACGCCTGCGAACAACTTGAAGCCGGCCCTGGACCGTGAAGGCGCGGGAGAGCTGGTGCGCGCGGAGGAGGACCCTGTGGGACGGTGTCTTCGTCTGGTCGTTTGTCTGTCGGAACCCCCAATTTACAAAGGGGGAGACTGAGGCATAGAGGGGGTAACGTGGCTTGCCCCGGCAGCCCGTAGTAGGAGGTGGAAAGAGTTATGGGAATTCGGAGTTGGAGGAGGCAGATCACTTAACCTCCCCCCAGGCCTCAGTTTCCTCCTCTGTAAAATTGGGGGGGGTGTAGAGGGACTCTGGGCCCTTCTGGCCCTAATTATGATAGTAAGTCACTCCCCCCCCATTCCTGCCTCAGTTTCCTTCTCTGTAAAATGGGGGTTCTGGCCTCTGCCAGCCCTGTGATCCTCTGATATTAACTCACTGCCCCCCAGTTTCCTTCTCGGTAAAATTGGGGGGTAGGGGGGCCCTTCCAGCCCTAACTATGATCCTGTGATATTAAGTCACTTCCCTGTGCCTCAGTTTCCTTCTCTGTAAATTGAGGGGGAGAGTAGAGGGGCTCTGGCCCCTCCCAGATCTATATCTTACACTTTTTAGGCTGAGATTTAGGTCCTGATTCAGTTGCTTCCTCTATGCTGGGCAAGCCCCTTCTCCCTGGGCCTCAGTTTCCTCCTCTGTAAAATGGGCATTGGGGAATCCGTGACCTCTTTGGAGTTCTGACCATTTATGACATTCTTTGTCCTTACTAGCCAGGAGGGGGATCCCAGGACGAATCCCAAAGCCAAAGAAAGAGGATTTTCTCTGGTGTTTGCCCCATGCCTGTGACCCCAAGTGGGCTTTGGGATCTGGGAGTCTCCCAGAGGCCCCTGCTGCTCCTCTGGGGGATCTGGGGTGGGGGGGGGGGTCTCAGGGTAATGACCTTCTCTTCTGACTGCCCCCTGCCAGTCTCCCTACCAGAGATTGAGCCAGCGGATGCAGGACATCACTGGAGACAGGGGGGTGTTAAAGGAGGTCATCCGTGAGGGGGCCGGAGACTTCGTGACACCCGATGCCTCCGTATTAGGTATGACGGGCCCCTGGGTGCACTTACTTCAGCAGAGGAGTCGGAGCAGTAGAGATGTTTGAAGGGGGAAAGACGGGGTTTTGCTTGTGCTCTGGAGCCTCAGACGCATTGGGGAAGCCTAGTACTAAGATCAAGGCGACCTGTCCGTAAATTGGGATGTGGCTTTAGGCCAGCAGTTCAGGCTTTTTAAGAAAAGCCTGGGCCGCGAAGGTGTCGCGGCATAGATGTGGCCAGTCGGGCTCACTGGCTGAGGGACAGAGGGTCTGCCAGAGCCACCTTCTCTCGCCATCTGCCTTCCTTGGAAGCAGTCACTAGTGAGTTAGTCTCCTGGCTGGTGATGTAGGGTAGCCGCAGCTGGTTCTGGTTCTGGTTCTGGTTCTGGGCCGGCTTCGCTCATGGATCTGGTTCCATGTGAATTTTGATGGCTTTCTCTCACGATTCCTTCAGTGAAATACTCTGGGTATCTGGAGCACATGGACAAGCCCTTCGACACAAACTGCTTTAGGAAGATCCCTCGACTGATGAAACTTGGAGAAGGTGAATCAGGCCTGGGGACCAGCACGTGTTTTGGCCTAAGTTCAGTGGCACTTTTGACCCACAGCCCCACTGTATGTTGACGTGTTCTTTGTGTTGGTTTTTCTGATAAGGAGGGATGGATCGTGTGGAGCCGTGTATACCTTCCTTCTCCCATTTCACCTTGTGACCAAGAAATTTATGAAGTGGGCGGCCAGGCTGTGGCATGATCTAAGATGGTGTAATTCCTTCCAGTCCACCCAGCCTCTACTGGGTACTTTCTCCACACCAGGCTAACTGTGCTAGGTGCTGGGAGAGACAGACACAGTGATAGCGCCCCCGTCCTGAGCAGTCTCAAGGACGTGTCCTCGGTGATCCCTGGAGGAGGGAGGGAGGGAGTACCTGGGACACAGAGGATCAAGGGAGGCTTTTCAGGGCACTCGCCTCAGAGGTGAGGAGGGAGGACGTGCCCAGAAGGGAGGAGGGCTGGCCTTGTTGAGAGGAGGGAGAGCTGGGCAGCCAGGTAGGCTGGATTGTAAATACATAAAGGGGAGGAACAGGCGACTAGGTAACAACTAGGTAGCGAGCCAAGCATTGTGCTGAGGTTCTCTGCTCCGCTGTCTGCAAGACATGTATATATGGAAATGCAGATAGCATCAGTTTTCTTTTTGAGGGGAGGAGAGCGTTTGCAGGTGGAGGAAA